ATTTTTTGTTTGGCTAAAGGATGTATTCTAAGTACCTAGAATAGAGCCTGGCTGCTAGAGGCGACTTAGTCATATTTGTTGAATGAAAGCATGAATAAATTTTCAAAAGCGATGTCCTTAGAACATTACCACGGAATAAGATGTGACTCCATTAAATGTTAATAAGCACCCGTGGCAGATGATCACGTTTCCTGTAGATGTTTTTAAACAATGTTCTCATCTAAAAGTTATCTTTAATGTAATACGAAAAATTATAGTCCATAATAAAACCTGGAATATATAACTCAATTTTTAAAACTAATTGTTTTTTAATTTGTGAAAATAAACAGAAATATCTGAGATAAGTAAATATAAACAGATGAAGCATATGTGGGGGAGTCATTTTTTTTCTAATAAATCCCAGAGCACAATTCGTACATGCTTAGGAGAAGTACTGAATTTAAGAAGATAGAAGTAATAAATAAAAGCAAAACAGAAACTTTAATAAACTGCAGTTTATTAGCAGCATGACAAGAGAGGCTAATTGATAGTTATTCAATTCTTAGAACTTGGCTTAATCCATAGGCAGACATAATATATTAGCACAGCACAGAAAACTCTTCTGGTCTATCTAATAAAACAATTACAATACAAACTAATCATTTTTATTCCTAACATGAATAAGGCATGATGAACTATTTTCATATTTTTTAGAACTCCCTGCAAAGTAACTGTGCCAGGAGCACTACCAAAATTAAATCTAAGTAGCAGAGATTGTGAAATACAGAGATAATTGCATTGAAAAGTTTTTCAAACTGTACTTTCATAATGCAAATAGTATTATTTTCATCATGTATAAGTAGAAAACTGTTTTTATAAAGCAAATCTCACCATTTGGAAAGTGTGTTAAAATATTTAAAAAACAGAGGTATGAGCATCCATTAACAGATTTACGCTTTATTCATACATGACTGAGACAAAAAATGGGATGCCACAGTTCAGTCCATTTTAAGTAGCCAGACTGAAACTACTAATGATATTTAGACTAACAGTAATTAATAATAATTTAATACTTAATGAAATACCTGATAACTTCAGAAGCCTTAAAGAAAACATTGCAAGTTCAAGACTAATAAAGACTTCTTATTAAATGTAAGTGTAAATCACAGCTAATGCAAGGAAGAAACTGCTTTCCTTAAAACTTTAGGGCATTTGTGGCTCAGAGAAATGTTTAAATCCGGTGACCACTCTGAGTCACTTTCAGGCATTATCTGAAAAGAAAACTTATACTTAAGGCCAATCAATTAGTCACGTTTTCAAAAATGATCTTCTTCAAAACATAAACTGGAAGTTAAAAAAAAAAGATCTGCCCATAAAGATGTCAAATTAATGAAAATATTTGAATTTTCTCACTGTCATAATACAAGATCTTTAGAATATTTTGACTATTCATTCTCAAACATTGTAATCAAAATGTTATTTGCAGTAGTTGAAGCTATAAAATATTTACAGACAGCATATATGCTATATTGGAACATCTGTTTATACAGTTGATGTAATTAGATAAAAAACTTCCCTGCCTCTCAATGTAATCTTGTAATGGGCAGCATTGCTACTTGACTACATCTATTCATCTTCTATCCTGTTTTAATAACACAAGTGTCACCTAAGAAATTATTCTTTGATCTTTCAATAAACTAAGCCTCTGCAGAAGGAGGAAGGTGGAAGAGGTTAAATTGGCATTGATTATTTAAGACACATTCATCATTTATTTAACAATCTCCCTCATCACAAAAACTATTGTGTTTATAGGCCTGTGCTGAGACACTCTTAATTAATTTTTTTTTTTAAGTCTTGCCATGTGCATTAAAAGTCGGAGCACATTGTAAACTAACATTAGTTTCATGTCTCCTGACAAATCTGGTGCAGGATAGAAGTAGTTTATTGTACAAATCTTTAAACTTATTCAAGGCAGTGAATTTTTAATAGATTTTATTATAATTAATGTTTTCTGGGGATTCTGTTTCTTATCTTAAGCGAAATGTGTACCAACAGTTCTTTTCCCAAGGAAATTATATTAATGATGACACACACTATCATATATTCTGATACTCATACCAATAAAACATGATCCACAATGATCTGTAAAACACAATTTGTGCTAAGGTTGGCAGCTTTAAGAAAATGAGTATAAGAAACATACATAATGTACAAGATTTCTATGCGGTACTTACAATAAACATAATTTGAAAATTATAAATAGATATATGTGTGTATAGAATATTTTTGAAAGTTAAAATAAGGTGAAACTATATTTCCTTACAGGGAAAAAGAAAAAAACTACTATAAATTGAAGAATAATGATTCTTATTGCATATAAAATGTTAAAAATATTTAAAATAAATATTGAAAAATATAGAAAATATATCCTGGTCATGTAAGAAATTGTACTACTTATGAATCATATATTTCCAGTTATGTAATTCATCATACTTAAAGTGTTTGCTTATTTTTGATTTGTTTATTTAAGTATTTCCATCCCCAGTTTTTCACATGCAAAATGCTATAAAGTTTAGTACTACAGTTACATCTAGTTGCTTTCATAAGTTTGTATATGCATATTTTAGAAATTTAATTTTCTCATACAAAGCGGATTCTTTAAGGACTCACTGTCAAAAAGGTATTATTCTATAACCTTAATTAAATACAGTAAAATACATTAAACTATCACTATAACATGAAACAAGCTAGAAACAATTAAGATTTAATGAGGATTAACCATTACCATGTATTCATTTTAAATTTTTATTTACATGTTTAGAGAACTAAATGGCATTGATGTAAGAAACATTGTAGAAATAAGAAAATCATGAGGCATTGATAGGCAAATACATAATAGGCTGCTGGTAACTACTGTGTTAGAATAACTGTCCATGTATTAGTCATTTCCCCAGAAGTGTCATTCATTGATCAGTAACCCATTCTCACAAGTAGTCACTAACAGTGTCACATAAAATTGACAGTGTTACATAAAAGTCTTACATTTTATATTTATATTGTCATTTTAAAAGTTCAAATTCAGTCTCCCAAACATTGTTTCTTTAAATTGAATAAAATTGAAAATTTGAATCCAAATGCATATTTGTTTTCTCTTTTCTGAACACATTACTTTAAATAAAAGACTAGATTCCCCGCAAAGGCTATGTGGAGTAAAAAAGAGACTTCATTTTTCTGAAATTCAGTTGACTTATTTAAAAATTGGGGGCTTTGAAGTAAGTGGATTCTAATTCAACTTGTAGTCCCTGTGTTGTATGATGTTTTATTGGGAAAACGTTTAATGAAAATTATGTTTTTATTACTCATATTGAACAAACTCTCTGGCTTGCAGATTTACATATACACAGATTATTTATAAAATACATATTGGATTTATATCCTAAGTACTAGCATATAAATATTTTTTATTAAAAAAAAAAATTAGGCAGGGGGCGGTGGCTTATGCCTGTAATCCCAGAGCTTTAGGAGGTCAAGGCACACAGATCATTTGAGGTTAGGAGTTCAAGACTAGCCTTAACAACATGGTGAAACCCAGTCTCCACTAAAAACATAAAACTAGCTACCTGGCCGTAGTGGCGGATGCTTGTCATCCCAGCTACTTGGGATCCTGAGGCAGGAGAATCACTCGAACCCAGGAGGCAGTGGTTACAGTGAAGCGAGATTGTGCCACTGTACTCTAGCCTGGGAAAGAGTGAGACTCCATCTCAAATAACAACAACAACAACAACAACAACAAATTTTTAGACAGGAAAAAATCCCCTAAAAAAGACAAATATTGAATCATTTGTGGTAAATCCTCTTTAAGTACCATAAAAATTATTTCTTTTTAAAAATAGATATCAACATAAGTTAAATAATGTACAACACTGCTAGAAGCATTTTAGTCACAAAATTGAGATCTAGAATTTAGATATATAGAATAAACATATCTTTAAAATGAATGTAATAGAATAATTTTCAATTCACAGTTTTTAGTGTTCCTTTTAATTAAAAAAATAAGGTATATAAACATTTGAAATCAATTTGTGCAGTAATTCAAAGCTTTGGTTTACTTCCTACAAGAGAACAGTAGTTTTATATCAATGTACTAACGTAGTTTGCAAGGCAACACAAAAGTAGCATACACATCTGTTATGTAACATAAAAACATGTAGATAAACATATAATTTATCATTATCCAATATCATAAAACTTAAAATTATCTCTATTTTATTTTTAGTTATCAGCAAAGTGCTAATAATAATAATAAATGTTTTTAAATAGACGAGGGGGTCCTCATATATGTTAGCTACAATATGAAATTAGGTCCTTTATTTTTTCATCGGGGGGAAGTTTAAAGTCATGAACTTAGGCAAAATGCAAATTTCTTGGCTATGTTTAAGAAAAAGTTGGGTATTTATATCAATGTTTTCCCAAATCACCCTTGTTACTAGATGCAATATTGTATTAAAACATGTTTTACAATCCTACTTTGACAGTTCAACAAGTATTTTGCTCTAACAGAAAAATACTAACTTTCAATAAAATTACTTTCTGCTTAAGTCCAAGAGCTAAAACATTATTTTAAATTTTTCTTCAAAGTTGTTTTCGCTTTTAAGTGTCTGCATATAAAAATGATGTGCTTCACCTTTGGTAATTACAAATCTGGTAACTTCATTAAACTATTAATAATTAACACTTTCTTAAAAATAAATTGCCCTAATTTTCTAATTCACTAATTCATAAAACTACATCAAAACCATTGCTTTTGAAAACATAATAAGATATTGGTATGCTAGTTGGTGCCTGTAATTATCTTTTTTAGTTCCAGAAGGTATTTAGGATTGTTTAAGAGCAAAAGATGAATGGCACACTGCTAAATCCGATTACATCAATGCATGGACACAGTAGCTGCAGAGGTAAATAAGCTGTGGAGGTCTGAATACCAATTATGAAGATAAAAATGGTTTTACAAAGCTACTTACATCATAGCCTAGTAGTTCAGTCTGTGTGGATTTATCTACTCTTGAAGCAAAAGCCTTCTGTAAATGCCGGACTTTTCCCTGCAAAACGAAAAAAAAAATTAGAAACAAACAAACAAAAAAAAAACCATATTGTTGGTGAGGTGTATACTTCTATACCAACATTCTCCACTTATTAAAATTTAATTAGTGTATAATTCATGTTCTTTTCTATGTATACACTTTGCTCTGTTAGTGCTCTTAAAATAAGCTTAAATATTTAGAGCTTTAATTTTTAGGTCACAACTGTCCCACCACAGGCACTGTAGAAGAAAACTCTCCTATAGGCGTCACTGAGTCAGAACCACAGTTCAACATTTCAGTCACAATGTGCTTAAATCCAAGACCAAATTCTTATGCTTTGTTTACTGTTATCTTTTTTAATAACTTACTTGCTATTATTTTGCTGATCCAGTTTCAGATCATTTATATTTGTAATAAAATTATTCTCAATAAATGACCCAATGGATTCCATTTAGTTTGTTTTAATTTTGTTATGATTATTCTTTCCAAAAACCTCTACACATTTAGGAATGCCTACTTTAAGGGACTGATACTAATTCAATGCCATGATAACCAGGGAAGGGAATTAATACATGAAGGGGGGTGGGATTTCATGTTTCAAATGTGAAAGTATGCTTTCTGAGTAAACTAATTTGACTGTGCTTCTTGCTGGGACCTTCCCTTCTCATTCCTAAATATGTCACTTAAAATGAGATCTTGAATTTAATTATTATGTAATGATTTACTAAGTGACTCACACAGATGAGAGTGTTTACTCACATGGTCACATTTTATCTTCAAATATTTGACATATACACCATTCATATTAAATAAAAACAATACAGTTTAGGAAGTTTAAGTAACTTGAGATAGTTTTCAAAGGAATTCATGTGATTTTACTAGATTGTGTTTTCCACTTGTTTTAAAGCAAAGTGTATATCATTTTCTTTTAAATATTTAATAAAATAAAGGACTGTAATTTAATTCCTCCTTTTCCAGGATTGACAATGGTTATCCAGAACCTCGTAAGAATTCCAGTTACACAAAACTCCTCCATCCTCAGCTCTCTTCCTTTCCTGTTCCTTCCCCTTCCCTCTTCTCCTTTTCCCCTTTCTCTCTATTCCTTCATTGCTGGTTGATATTTGCAAGGTTATCTGAGATGTTTAAAGAAGTACGTACATAATTTATGTAAATATAATTTAGTTTAACTTACTGAAATACAGAAAAGAAATATTTTATGTTCCATTAATGTCTCATCACTTCTGCTTCCCTAATCACAAAACATCTAGTGCTGCTAGCCAGAGAAAAATTAAATGCAGATTAGATCATGTAGGAAGATGTTTCGTGAGTAAGGTAAAAGGTTTTAATTATTTGAAAAAGATATGTAAAAATGTGGCTGCATTTTCTAAACTAAATTTCACATGAGAAAAAGCAAATTGTATTTATTTAGATATAGTGATTGGGATGAAGAAAACAGGGAGAGGTGTAATAGGTAAGGGAGTAATAACACTGTCCATCATTGAAAGTTTGTTTAGGAAAGTTTGATTAGCTACTTTTGAGATAGATTGGAATCATAAGTATGTGAAAAGTAAATTTTGTTGTAAATCTGTAATTATATAAACTTTTGTGTATAGAGTCTATGCACTAATGTAGAGAGCAAGGGAAAACAGCTACCAAATGCTTCCATTATGCCACTGCTCATTTATATTTCAAGGTTTTCATGCTGTTGATAGGAGTTGGAAAATGTTGGTAACTTCTGGATTACTGGTCTGAGTTATAAGACTTAGGAAATTCAAATAACAATAAATAAAATTCCAAACAACTTTATTAACCAATAGTATAATCAAAACAAGAATAAACAAATAAAAACTTTAAATAAAGAACAGTTATATTTGGAAATTTAAAAAACACCAGACATTTCTGGTGAACGTCATTGTCACTCCCTCTTGTAAGCATTAGTCACAACAAATGGTGTATATGAATTATTTATTATGGTATTATATATGCACATGTGTGTCATATTCAAATGCAAATAATAAAATCTAAGTTTCCTATAGACTTAGGTACAAATAATTAAAAATTAAACATTTTACTTAGTGTAATAGAAGGCAGCAAACATCAAAGTTTATGACAAATGTCTATCACATACAGTTAGAAGATTAAAGAAAGACTACATAGCTTTCAGAAGATAATTCTTGATGGAGATCTTGCATTTCTAAATGGTAGAGGGAAACTTATCGATTGATAAATTGAATATGTAATAAAAGGAGTTTTATAGATAGCCAAACAGAAAATGTACCACCAAAGTACCTATTACTAGAGGGCAGAATTGCAGACAATTTTAATTTCTCATGTAATAAATCTACATATATTAATTTCATAAATATATATATATATTTATTAGAGATATAGGAAAAAAGTATATTTTCAATTTCACATTGATTTAATATGATTAAAGTCTTGATTAAAATTATTATCAGTTTATTTCAATTTAGGGAAATTTCACCTTCATGACATAATTTTATTTGTATTTAATTTTTTCATTAAATACATATTATCGCTATTGCTTAGGGGGCAGGGGACATGAAGGGAAAAAAAGAAAATATATCCCCTTCTATGAAGAAACTTCCAGTGTGAAAGTCAGACAAAGAAGAGATTATTAGTATTCTACAAGAAAAATACAATTACCACAGAGAAAGCCAGAGATGTATGTGTATGGAAAGGGCATATTGGAGAGGGGACATACAAAGGAGTTAAATTATTAGGAATGCAGAAGCTACTGACATCCCAGCTAAGACCAGAAAAATGAATTATAATTAGCCAATTTGAAGTGGAACTGAGCGATACAGAACCTAGGAAGGCAATAGAATTTGCAAATATTTAGAAGTCAGAGAGACCATGACAAAGATATGTATAAACAGTTACTACTCCAAAATCGCCTAAGGGGAGCCACTTAAAGGGACAATGTGAAGAATGAGAGTAAAGTGGTAAGTTTATGCCATAAAGGATAGAATGCTATGCCAAAAGATTTGAGAGTTAGCTCAATTTTCAAAATATAACTTTATAATTAAAGGTCATAAAATATTTTAACGAAATTATGATGGAACGTATTTAAATACATCCTTCACTTTATATTATACATAAAAAGGGATATATATGTATGTGTACATACAGAGAAAGCAATATGGAGAAGAAAAAGCATGGAAGTGTGCTGAGCTTTGACCACCAATGAATTTACACTGTGTGATTTAAAATGGCTCTCTTTCAGTGTTCTCCCAATGTAAGCCGACACTGTAATTCCTTCTTCTAACCTCTCTCAGAGAGATAGTGGAGAATTAAAACAATTCAATTTGTGGTAGATAAATTTTATAACTAAATCTAACCCCCTGATAAAATATCTAATTGTCTTTAAGCTTCCTTTCCATGCAATGACAAAATACACCCCTTATTTTTTCACATTTACGATTAATAAAACATGTGCTTAGACAAAGCAACAAATGAAGGCTAGCATATATATATTTTTTTTTTTTTTGAGATGGAGTTCTACTCATGTTACCCAGGCTGGAGTGGAATGGCACTATCTCGGCTCACTGCAACCTCCGCCTCCTGGGTTCAAGCAATTCTCCTGCCTCAGCCTCCTGAATAGCTGGGACTACAGGCGCGCGCCACCATGCCCAGCTAATTTTTGGAGTTTTGGTAGAGACGGGGTTTCACCATGTTGACCAGGATGGTCTCGATCTCTTGACCTCGTGATCCACCCACTTCAGCCTCCCAAACTGCTGGGATTATAGGTATGAGCCACCGCGCCCGGCCGAAGGCTAGCATACTATGTAAAAAAAGTAAAACTAAAATGGGATAAAAAAGACAAATTTTGTGATTTACATTTATTGCTAAATTTCCATATAATCTGAGTCCTGAATATGTGGAGGTTTTGAATTAAATTATATTGCTATATGAATAAAAATGTTTTTCCTCTCTAAATTTCCAAGTAATTTCATCTGAGATTAAAAGTAACATAATAATATTTGTATAGGCTGGGCACAGTGGTTCATGCCTGTAATCCCAGCACATTGGGAGACCAAGTCGGGCAGAAAACGAGGTCAAGAGATGACCATCCTGGCCAACAGGGTGAAACCCCATCTTTACTAAAAATACAAAAATTAGCTGGGAATGGTGGTGCATGCCACTAGTTCCAGCTACTCAGGAAGCTGAGGCAAGAGAATCACTTGAACCCAGGAGGTGGACGTTGCAGTGAGCCAAGATCATGCTGCTGCACTCCAGCCTGGCAACAGAGCCACACTCTCAAAAAAAATAAATAAATAAAAGGTAATATAATAACAGTGTATAATAAAAATCAGCAACATAAATACATGTATGTAAACCTAATAAAATATATAAACTTATTAAGGGTACTAAATTATACTCACATTCCCTTTCCTTCTGTAAGTTTTATCACTTTAATTATTACTACTAATAATAGGTGCCATTAGTAGAATGTATGTTACATGCCAGGTACTGTATCAAGTAACATATATATATATATATATGAATCCTCTCCAGAACATATAAAAGCTGTGCTTTTGTTCCTTTTACAGAAAACAGCAAACCGATTCTTTTTAAAAATCAGTTGCTAAATTTCACACAAGATAGTAAGTGGAGTAGCCAAGATGAAAAGTTTTTTTTGTTGGTCTCTAAACTCTAGTATAGTATCTCTGTAAAGATACTGTAACTCTTTTAAAAAGCTTACAGATAGTGTTGCTTCCTCCACATCACATATTCAAGGAAACATATAAAATATGTATTTTTATACTTGCTGCACAGCTAGTAATTACAGATGAAGATAAAACTATTTTTGATGTCCACTTTGTCTATATTTTCTTGCAGACTCAATATTAAGTTCTTTTTTTTTCTACTGTGGAAACAATTTAAGATTACCAATGTATTTCCTGTAAATGCACAAATCCACAGAACACCTACTAATATAAACATCATCAGCAATGCATTTTGGAGCACAAGTTTGGAATAAAATGATAAAGTCA